AGGAGCGGGCGCCCCGGGGACATGCCGGCCGGCCTCGCAGGACGGGCTCGAGCGGGGTCGGACCGCGGGTGGCGGCCGGCAGCCCGCTCGCTCGGGATTACCTGCCCGGCGGGCAGCTTACCTCGCCAGCTCCCCAGCGAAGCTCGGCGTCGTGTGTTTCGTCTCCTAGGAAACGGCCGGGCGCGCGCCGCCCAGGACGCCCCGCCCCCAGGGGGCGTGGCCGCGCGGCTGGTCCTCGGAGGAGGGCGGGACCCTACGAGAGCGCCTTCGCGCGGAAGAAGTTGGTGCGTTTGCGCTTTGTTTTGCTTTGAGTTTTGTGCCGATTCACGTGTGAAATCCTTATTAATGCAATCTACTTCCTAGACCAGACTTGCACTTTCTTGTATACTGCCTGGAGGAAAACCGCCCTTGTATTGCGGTTCCTTTATGGGTCAATCCCTTGAGTAAATATTATCTCCTGGGCTGCCCTTGTAAGTCCGGTTTCATACCTTCGTTCAGCGGACCTGCAGAGTTCCAGTCACCCGGTTAGCAGAGGGGATTGCACTGTAAAGGAATGAGTGTGTGAGTGAACAGTAACTCACCTAAGAGTTCTGAGAGGAGGCGCGCTTGTGTTACTGGGGAAAAGTTAGTGGCTGTCAAAAAGGACCCAAGCCTCGTCCGCTCCAGGGGTGAGGCTGTGGCTAGCCATTTAGTGATGATCGCTTAGGTTTTAGGCTGTGAGCTTGGCGCCAAGGTAGAGAAGACGCAAAGGAAAGGCATGCATCAGATCACAGAGGTCCTGTACGAGCCCAAGTATGCAGCCTAGCCTTACTAACATGCGTGGCGGGGCATACGAAGAATTGCCCTCAGAAAGTGACATATTCAGATTGCGTGGAAAGACAGCTTGAAATACAGAGTTGTCACTTAGGGTCTGCCAGAGGTGGGAACACAGGTACATGGGGATGCTGCGGATGAAGTCCTGGGAATGGACAGGATAAACTGCAGGAGAAAAAGAGGACTGGGGCGCTGCAAAACTTGGAATCTTAAAAAGTAGGGAAAGAAAAGTAAAGGTTAGGGAAAGACTGAAAAAGAGAGGTAGTAAGGCACCCCTGAAAAATGTATTTTGGAATGAGGAAGGGGAGATTTCAAACAAGAAGAAAGAAAGAAAAGAGAACAAAAAGTGGATGGACGCTAGATCAGATCTTCTGAAGAGACTTCCTGCCTCAAAGACAACTAGATCGTGCCTAAAGCACAGTTTTCATCACTTTATTGTGATAGGAAGAATAAAGTTTTTAAGGGCTCCCAACCCCTTCAGAAGGTACCTGGTACCTAGGCACAAACAGTAGAAATATAAACAAGCTTACAAGGCAAAGGCCCAAAGGCAAATCCCATTTTAGTAAAGCAGTAGCAGATTAGGTTTTGGACCAGTAGCACCTGGATGAGTTTAATAGAGACTAGAAAATTAACCAAGGGGCCAGGGAAGGGGCCAAAGTGGACCAGATTAGTAGCACCATCTGAATTTCAGAGAAGCAAGCAGATCATCCCTGAAGACAGCATCTTCAATTTAGCTGCCCATGTTTTCCATAAAATATGAGCTCATGACCACATGATGAGTGAATGCCTCCAATGAGAATCAGCAGAAAAAGAGCAGTATATGTAGATTTTTGAGGACTTTCAGAAATTGGAAATTTCACTGAGCAGGTGTCATTCCAACACTTAAAAGGGTGAGGCAGGAGAATCACTGTGAGTTCGAAGTCAGCTTGGGCTACAGAGTGAGTGCAAGGCCAGCCTGAACTATATAGTGACACTTCTCACCGGAAAAAAATTGGAATTATCAACCTGACTATAAAAAGATAGCTGTGAATGCCATGCATACAGAAGTAAAATATAGAATCACAAAATAGGCAGAAATTTACAAAAATATCTTAAAGGAATAAAAAATGCTACAGGCCAGTCTGAGCTACACAATGAGACCCTCTCAAAAAAAAAAAACTAAAAAAAATATCTGGGCTCCTTTGTGCCAGGTGTGATAGTGGACACTTGTAACCCCAGCACTTGCAAGGCTAAAGCTGGAGGACTGGTGCTTGCGTAAGGCCAGCCTGAGCTACATAGTGATTCGAGGCCAACCGAGGCTACATTGTGAGTTCCTGTCTCAAAACAAAACAAAACAAAACAAAGCAAAACCAAAAAATGACATAACTATCAAACTAAAAACACAGGATAAGTAAACAGTAAAGTTTAACCAAAGGAAGGTTTAGGAAACTGACAGGAAATCACCCAGAATGTAGCATACTGAGATAAGAAGATAGAACATACTAATGCAAGATTGGGAGATAGGATTAAGAGAACAAGAAAGACTAACATATGCTACATTGGACCTAGGAAATACGGAACAGAGAGAACGGAAAGACAATATCATCTATAAAACCATAGTATTTTCTGCATGTGGTTAGGGATATAAATTCACAGGTAAAGACTATGACTATGAAGCCGGACAAGCACAGGTATCCACATCTAGACGCAAAGGGGTACAACTGTGCTATGCGAGTGGAGACACTGAATGCAACAGAGAGGCAGAGAGACGGTGGCTAAGGGTCAGCTGTGAGATACAGAGCATGCTTTGGTGCCAGCAAGAAGCCGGAAGATGAAACAAATTTTCATTTAAGTGAAAGTCATGAAAATTTCCCCTTGAAGTACTGAGAATGACTCTAAAACTGTTGGACTCATATGTAAGAAAACCATCCTTCAAGGGCAAGGGACCCATTTTCAGATTTAAAAAGAGGAGTGGGGAGCCAGTCATGGTGGTACACACATGTAATCCTAGCTGTCTAGGAGGCTGAGGCAGGAGGATCGGAACTTCAAGCCCAGGCTAGCCAATGTAGCAATTGTGTGAGACCCGGTCTCAAAAGAGATGGAGGGACAGGGTCAGGGACAAAAGATGGTGAAAAAAGGAATTAGGATGTGTGTATACACCCACTCCACTCAAGGAATGGAGACAATATGTGCTGCAGATATGGACTAATAAAATTTCTTTTTAAACTAAAAAATATTTTTTAAAGGGCTGGGGATGTAGCTCAGTGTAAAGGTCTTGGATTCAATTTCCAGTACTGAAAAAAAAAAAAAAGGAAAGAAAAGGAGCAGAGAGGAAAGGAGGAAGGGAAGAGAAGGGAAGGGAAAGGAAGGGAAAGGAAGGGAAAGAAAGGAAGGAAAGAAAGGAGGGAGTGGGGTGGGAAGACGTTTGCTACTAACAACCTACTATGAAGGAACTTCTAAGGGTTATGCTTTAGGATAAGTAATGTAACCAGGAGGAAGGTCTGTAGTAGAAAAAGATGAACAAAGAAATGACTACATGTACAAAGTGTAAATATTCGCAAGGTAACCATAATGGGCCAATTTTGGCAATTAAAAATTTTAGATAACATTAGCATCTCAGAGTTAAAGGACTCAAAGTCCTTGATGTGCTTGATGACCTGTAGAACAGCACCCTTAGCCTGTTACGGGTGCATGGTAAATTTCACAACTACCTTGGACTTTCCTTGCTCCAGATCCAGAATGAGCCATTTCTCCAATGAGTCTTATTTCCTTTAAGCAAATGATGGCAATTAAAAATCCATGCCTGCATATTAATGTGTTCATTGCTACTATGGTATCTTTGACTCTAGAATTGGCTTTGAAATAGCCAGGTGAACAAGTGATTCACTAAAAAACCTCTCTTAATTCTATCCATGGACAAATGAAAGAACACAGACATAAGAAGAAATAAGATGATCCAGAAAGTGGAAGGGTGCGTGGGTGGGGGAACATGCCCTACCACGTGTCAAGACTTATTATAAAGAGATAATGAGTAAGATTATAAAGTTGGATGCAGAGGCAGAACAAATCTCCAAAGGGACCGAGTAGAGAACTCATATATCAAATATATTCATGTCTATTTTGGGTGTACAGGGGGATTAGATGTTTCATAGGTGGCACTGCAGCCCCCTGGGGAAAGCAGACTACAGAAAAGTAACCCACATGGCAAAACTAAAATTTGTCCTTTAACTACCAAAGCTCACGCTTGCTTCCACCAGCCAAATTCAAAATAATTTGAGATCAAAAAGAATAATACATTATAGCACATTTGAAAGCTCAAAAATTTTTCATTGATAAGTAAAAGTTGGACCTGGTGCTTCCTTGTACTTACATGTTGTTTTTTTTTTTTTTTGGTTTTTCTCCGGTACCGGGAACCGAACTCACGACCTTGTGCTTGCCAGGTAGCGCTTTTGCCGCTGAGCTAAATCCCCAGCCCCCTTACATGTTGTTAAGGGGCTGAATCAAGTTACTTAACATATGAATCACCTCACATAGTCTTTTATAGTCTATATACTAATCAATATATAATAATGCACTATGATAATGAATATTCTGATTGCATGCAAAATCCTTAGTGTCAAAAGAAAGGGTCAACTAACTCAAAATTTTAAAAAATGTGCACTTGGGGGCTGGGGATTTAGCTCAGTGGCAAAAGTGCCTGCCTTGCAAGCACAAGGTCGTGAGTTCAATTCCTGGTACCGGAAAAAAAATAATAATAAATAAAAAAAATTAAAAATATGCACTTCAAGGATGAATAGATCCACTAGACTGACACAAGTGTTGACCAGGGTGAAGTGGAATAGCAGCTTTTTCAGCGCTGGTGAATAGAAACTGACATATTGTTTTGGGTGCTGGGAACCAAACCGGGGCTTTGTACATGCTAAGCAAATGCTCTACCTCTGAGCTACATCCCTCCTCCTGAGCACAGCCGATTTCATAGTTGAATATTCAGTTACCATTTGACTCAGCAAGTCCACCCCTCAGAAAATTGTAAAAATATTAGCTCAAGCAATACTTCAAGATTAGCTAAACCAGAATTTCTGAAAATGGGACCCTGGCCTCAGTGTTATTTAAATATCCACGTGGGATTTCAAAATGTAACCGAAGTTGAGAATCACTTCTCTAGAGAAAAACCTTAGACATGTGTACCAGGAAACATACACCAAAGTGTTCACATATACAATATTGGTAGGAGCAAAACCTGAAGGCGGCCCCAATGTCATCAGCAAGAGAATGGATAGATCAATTGTGGTGTAGCTACCCGAAAGTATATTACAGTCATGAAAATTAATACCATTGGTTAATCTCAGGCATGGAATATTAAGGGAAATACAAAAGTTGCACAAAGGTATATGTAATATGCCTAACATTTTGTAGGGCTTGTCTACAAGGAAAACTAAACAATACAGAGAGAGTCTGGAGTTCACGAAACCAAATTCAGAGCTTTGCAGAAGGACTCCCAGTTGTACTGAGTGCTAAGACGTAGAGAGAGGACAGACAGACAAAGTAGGGGTGTTTGCAGTTCCACAGTTAGAGATTATGGTGGATGGGAGTGGACAGTCGCAGAGAGACAGGATGGTGGTGTGGATTCTCATCAACCCTTGGAATTCAACTAGTGGATAGAAAAGTTAGACATGCAAGTCTTTGCTCAGAACTTCCTATAACAGAATTACCTACCTCTTCCAATCCCAACTCAGGATGAGTCTGACCAGTGAAATTGTCCTTTTATTGAAAGGCAGTGTGCTACTTGGGAGTTCCTGACTGTTTTGATGAATTGTACCCACTGTGATCTGTGGAGAACTTCTTGAATTTGGAGGTCCAGCATCTACTCTTCCCTGTCAGGCATGTCCCTGACTCTCATGAGGGCAGGTACCCCTGGCCCACTAGGGTCTTGTGTGGTTCAGCTTCAGAGACAGGCACGTGAGGTTTTCAGACTCTCAGTGAGTGCCTTGCCTGGACAAGGACATGGTGCCACACTCCTGGGAAAGGGGTCTCCCCTGTCTGCTAGGGGTACTCTGCAGAAATTTGAGGGCTCAGCACAGCTGGGGCCATCTTCGTTGCATAAGGAGCCCAGAGGCACTGAGAGACAGAGGGACCAAGATTGTTTCCAGATGTCGGTAGCTGAGCACCTGGATGGGGCCAAACTGGAATCCACTCCTGCTTTTTGCAATGACAAGAACCTGAACGCTCCTCACTTTCCTTAGTCATTTGGTTTTCATTTTCACTTGCAGTTGAAAGTATCCCTAACTTAGGAGGTGTGATTAAAATATGTGATGAATATTTAAATTTTAAAAATTCATTACATTGCCATTAATCCCCCTAAAAATACTCCCCTCTTCTTAGAACACACTTACCTTATCATTCTTGCTACTTTCTGAGCAGTTCTGAAATCCTTGATCGTGAGTGTCTTTGCTTGTGCTCTCATGGTTGCCCCGATGTCCTGAACTGATTCAAAACAATTATTTTCCTGGTCATTTTGATTTGAGGAAGAGCCAGAAGTCACAGCCAGTGCCAGATCTGGTGAATAAGGCAGATGGGGACACACCATAATGGTTTTAAGAGCCTGCCTTTCCATTGGATGGCACTTGACAGTAGCATTCACCCTATTTTGATCACACCTTGTAACAATACTCATGAAAGGAGATTCCAAAACTGCTCCAGAAAGTGGCAAGAATGACGGGATGAATGTGTTCTAAGCAAAGGGGGGAGTATTTCAAGTAGGATTAATGGCAATGTGTTTTTTATTGTAGTAAATTTCTAAAAATTTAAACACTCATCATACATTTTGATCATAGTTCATGTATAGCATCATGGAAAAATTTTACTTATTCCTGTAGCATGTTAATCCTTCTAACATTTGAAGTTGTCCCATACCTCAGTGTTTTTCCCTGGCATCCTAGATTGCAAGGTAAAGGGTCATCCTCTCATCCCATGTCTGACTTCCTCTCCAGCCTCAGTGGCAAGTGTGTGACCTGATGTCCAGTCAGTGCCTGAAGGACCAGAACATTCCCATTTTAGTACATTTCCATCTATATTGCCTTGGCTTACTTTTTCCTTATGTCTCAACTCTTATCCAGCTAACATGAAAATATATGTTTGTAGGTCGTTCTTTCTTCTTAGGATTTACATGAAAATTATTTTCTAAAGAATGTATCAGCTGTATAAACTTAGGATCAAAATTTAATCCTAACTCTACAACAAGTTTTAGGTGGTATGTTAGTAAGCTTTCTGTCACTGTAACAAATACTTGCGATACATCAACTTAGAAAAACCATTTTGACTCAAGGTTTTGGATGTTCAGTCCATGGTCACTTGGCCCTGCTGACTTTGGGCCTGTGACAGCACAGAACTTCATGGCACAGCGCAGATGGTGCAGTTGATGGCTCACCTCAGGGCAGCCAGAAAGCAGAAAGAAAGAAGAGACGGACATCTCTACGTCCCCCTCAAGGGCACACCCCCAATGACCTAATTCCTACTCCCAAGCTCCACATTGTAAGGGTTCTGCCAGCTCCCAGTGTGCTCCATGTTAGGTTCTAAGCTTAACACACAGGCCCTGGAGAACATTCAAGATCCAAGCTATGGCACATAGTCATGATTTTAAAAGTGGTCTCCAGGTACCCTTCAATATCTCATCTGAGGGGCTGGGGATTTAGCTCAGCGGTAAAAGCGCCTGCCTGGCAAGCGCAAGGTCGTGAGTTCGGTTCCCGGTACCGGAGAAAAACCAAAAAAAAATAAAAAAAAATCTCATCTGAGTGGGAACACTTGTCCTCTCTGTCATTCCGCAGAGTAGCCAGCGTTATTGTTACTTATTTTCAATTTTGGTTCAGGCTAAATATATTTGTCAGAATTATTAGTTAGAAGAACTAATTAGTTAGTTAGAAACCCAAAATGTATTAGTTAGAATTAACCCAAAATTAGTTAGAAACCCAAAATGAATCAGAGCACTATTATTTACCTGCTGTGTCCTAAGTCATCACAAGGTAGTAGTGTTCTATGATATCATAATTCTGAAAAGAAGTGGCAATAGTATGTTTTACTAAGAAAAGCAATGGCTTAATGACTTATGATTTCTGAGATTAGGAATTTCAGTTTCACTTGAGTTCTTCTAAATACCTAATCATCGCCAGGCGTGGTAGCACATGCCTGTAATCCCAGCACTCGAGAGGCTGAGGCAGGAGGATTGTTGTGAGTTAGAGACCAGTCTGGGCTACAAAGTGAGCTCAAGGCCAGCCTGAACTGCATAGCGAGACCCTGTCTCAAAAGGAAAAAAAAAAAAAAACTGAAACCTAATCATCCTGAGCAATTTAACAAAGAATAGTTAATTAGATACTACTGAAAAAATGCACAAGGTGACTTTTTTCCTTTATGATCATTTTATTTTACTTGATAAGTAATGTATAACAAAAGAGTACTAGAAAATAAATTATATGTTGTACCACTGATAACATTTTGGCACATGTCATTAAAATTTATTTTTATTCATTGAAAAATTCTTTTTTAGTGCTAGGGATTAAAACCAAGGCTGTGAACATGCTAGGCAAGCTGTCACTGAGCTACACCGCTGGCTCCTAAAATGTTTAATTGACATGTAACAATTGTGTGTATTTATAGAGTACAGTATGATATTTCAACAAGTGTGTGCAATGTGTAATGATCCAATAAAGATAACTGACGTATCCACCACCTCAAACATTTATCATTTCTTTGTTTGGAACATTCAAAAGCCTCTCTGTTCATTTTATAATTTTAAATAACTTTTCAATTTACAGAAAAATTGCAAAGATAGTAGAGATTTGTCCTGTACCCTGAAGCTACTTTCTGCTGCCATTAACATCTTACATTACTGTGAGACACTTGTCATAACTTAATCACCAATATTGATACATTATTATTAACTGAAGCCCATACCTTCTTCATTTTTTCTTAGTATTTACTTTATGTTCTTTTTCTAGTCCAGATCTCATCCTGAATACATGATACTTAAATTGTCATGCATGGAGGTTACTTCAAAATTAAAGGTAAGACTACTGTTTGATCTGGCAATCCTCATTTCTGGGATATATACAAAAGATTTGAAATCAACATGTCAGAGTGACATGGGTACTGTGAGGTTCACTGGTGCGTTATTCATAATAGCCAAGTTATAGAAATAGCCTAAATGTCCATAAAGAAAATGTGGCACACACATGCAGTGAGACATGTTTAAGCCTTAAAAAAGAAGGAAACCAGCCATATGCAGCAACATGGATAGATATAAGGCTGAATGAGATAAGCCAGCCACAGAATGATAGATAGCGTGGGATTCCACTCACTGAGGTCTGAAAAATAACTCAGAGAAGAAAGGAGGCGACAGGAACTTACCAAAAATTGAAGGTTGGGGCTGGGAAGTTGCATATATAGCTTCGAAAAAAAAAAAATGCAGTCTTTTCAAATAGCTCACTCTAAACAAAAGAAAACTGCCCCATGTCATGTTGTAAATAGGTTTGCTACTGATGCACGATTATGTGTGGATATGTTGATGTTTACCAGTGTTCATGGTTTGTCGCTTTTCACAAGAGCAAGAATGAGAGCGGCATTCAATGACGCATAGCATTATCTCGGCTAAGTGGCATCGCAGAGCTGGGGCCCGGCGCACCTGCCTCAAGGTCGTCCCAGAGGCTGTAGGCAAAAGCCAGAGAAGGTCTGTACCTGCAAGATCAAAAGGCAGTGAACTCAAAACTCTCCAGGCCCAAAACATCCCTGTGGGTGAGTCAGAGTTGGCCACCGGGCGGGGCTGGGAACCCGACACCCTGCTGTGTCAGTAGCAGCAGCTTCTCGGGTCAGTTCACTGCTTTTCCTTCACAGATGAGTCCCGCCAGGTCGTCCTGCGTAGGAGGAAGTAATCAATTATATCACCTCAAGGATGTTTGCTTCTGTCAAAACCACTCTGCAACTGATCTTTATCAGTGGGTTTCTAAATCCAGCGACTTTGTTTACATGTTTTATTCCCTGACTTAGAAGATTTTGCCATAATAGGATATATCATTAAGTAACGGTATGAAATGAAGTTCAACAGCTCTGAAATAAAATTTAAAACCTACTAGCGTGACATCAAAAAGACAAGAAATTAATGAAACTCTAATTTTCACTCCCAGCTTCTTTGATTTCTTAAAATGAATGACTCTTGATTTTGGACACAGTGGACCACCTGGGAGAGATTGTACTAAAAGAAAACAACAACACAGGAAAAAACAAAAAAAACTCAGGAAATCTACGGGGTTATTTTCAGCACAGAAGGTAAAAAAACCTTCACACCTTTAAAATTCTACACAAGCCTTTGATTGATGTACTTTCTAAGTGGCTAAATACTGGGACCTTGGAGGTATTTATTAAGATGTCTAATTTTATATAAATAGCTTTTCTAATAGATGAAAAGATTTTTAATAGAAGAACATATCTTTTTATAGAGGAAAGTTTGATAAATTTTCCAGTTATGTAAATTGAAATTTAGTTCTTCAGGGAAATGGTATTTTCTTACCAGTACACTTTCAGCAGAAATAAAGAACTTCTCTTAAATTCTTGTCTCTAAAGTGATTTTATTCCTGGAGAATATTCATATAGAGGAAAAGATATTATTTTAGTCTGGGAAAATAAAATAATTTACTTTTTAAAAACTGTTGTAAAACTTATGCTAAAAGGCAGATACTTAGTGTATAACTTATTGCGTTTTCCTGAATGTAAATGCTCAGGTTCAACCTCCCCAACCACAGCATAGAATGTCCACATCTTCCTGGGCAGCAAGCTTGTTTTCCTGTCCAGCCAGCCCCAGCCCCTTACCCCACCTGCAATGGTCATCTAATCTCTATTATCCTAGACTAAATCTGCCTGTTCTTGAGCTTCGTGGACATGCCCTTGTAGAGCATCTTTTGTGCCTGCTTTTGCTCGATACAAGATTTTGAAATTCATCTGTGTTGTGCTGGTCTGAAATTACTGAATAATATTCTAGTGTGTAAATGTGACAGGTAAGCTGTGTTGTCAACTTGATTGGCTTTAGAGCCACCTGGGGATTAGTAAAGCACACTTCTGGGTGTACCTGGGTGAGTCAGTAGGCATGGCCTTGGGGACTGTACCTGGTCCGTGGCCCCTTGTTCTCTGGTGCTGCTTCTCTCCTCTACTTCCGGGTCACCATAAGGTGAGCAAGTTTGCTCTGACACACCCTTCCGACGTGATGCTTCTGTGCTGGAGGTATGGACTGAAGCCACGAGCAAAAATAAATGCTTCCACCTTTCAACTGTGGGTGTCAGCAACAGGAAAGGTGACCAGTACAATGAATTGGCCATAATTTGTTTTGTCACTTTCCTGTTATCCCATTTTTGGTTGATAGAAGTAAAACTCTTATGATAATTCTTGTACAAATAGTTTTGTAGGAATGTTTTTATTTCTTTTGGGTAAATACTTAGGAGTGAAATTTTGGGGTCATGATAGGGTATATTTAAATATTTTTTTTACATGCCTAGTAGTTTTCTAAAGTACTTGTACTATTTAATGATTCTACCAGCAAGGTATGAGAGTTCAAGTTGTTCCTCATCCTTGCTAGTATGTCATTATCATTAAAAAAATTGGCCACTCAAGCAGGGTGTGATGGCGTATGGCTGTAACCCAGCACTCTGGGAGGCTAAGGTAGGAGGACTGCAAGTTTGAGCTCAGTTTGGATAATTCAGTGACCTAGCGAGACCCTGTCTCACAATAAAAAGTAAACAGGCTAGGGATGTAGCTCAGTGAGAAGAGGCTGGCTACTGCCACAAACAAATAAAAAACAACAACCAAACAAACAACTGAACAAGCCCTTCCGCTGGCTACAAAAAACTGTTTCCCTTTACATTTTTCTGTTGAACAATGAAGTTGAGTATACATTTTATTTTATATACACATTAACAAACTAACAATGTCTTTGTTTTTGTAATTTTTTAAACATCTTGTTTGTCTTATTAATTCATATGTGTGCTTTATGCAACAGATATCTTCCCCTTTCTGCATCCTTGCGAGCATTTGTTATTTTTTATTATTTTGATGATAACCATTCTTCACTGGGGTGAAATGAAATCTCATTCTGGTTTTGAGTTGCATTTCCCTGATATTTAGTGACACTGAGAATTTTGTCATGTTGGCTATTTGTTTACCTTCTTTTGAAAAATACCCATTCTGGTCATTTGCACGTTTTTAATCAGCTTTGTTATTTGGCCATTGGATTCCTTAGCTATTAATCCCTTGTTGGATGAATGGATTGCAAGTATTTGTTCCCGTTCTGTAGATTGTGTGTTTGCTCTATTAGTTGTTTCCTTTGTAGTCCAGAAGCTTTTTAGTTCAGTGTAGTCCTATTTTGTCTCCTTTCTCTTTTACTGTTTGGGCTTTTGGGATCTTATCCCCCACAAATTATTGTCTCCAACAATATCTTTTTAAGTTTAGACCTTTAAAAGAGTTTCCATGTTATAGTTTTCTGTTCCATTTCCCTATATATTTATTTATTGTGACAGTATTTTCCTTAAATCTTTGAATATTTATAATACCTCTTTTATGGTTATTACCTGTTAATTCTGTCATCTCACTTAATTTTCTAACACTTCTGTCATCTCAAATGATTTTCTAATACTGATTTTCTTTTCATCTTGTAGGATTTTCTTATTTATTCACATAGGGTAAATTTGGTATGTATATGACACGTTATGGATAACATGTTGAAGTGTCCTTAGATTTTGCTATCTTTCTTAATAGAAAGTTTTTATTTCAAGTAACCATTTTCCTTACCAACTAATCACCCTGGACTTGTGAATGCTTGATATTATGACAAGAAGCTCAGCCAGCACAGCTTGTTCTCTTAGCAGTCCGATTCCTTCCAATTTCCACCTAACTTTTGTGATTTTTTTTTTTCAAGGACGTCAGAGTTTATAGCTAATATCAGAAGGAGGGTTCATTCAATACAAGCCATGCCACCATTTCTAGAACCAGAAATTCAGGAACTTGCTTTTCAGTGTGGCTCCCCTAAATATTTCAGGACAAGATTGCATTTACAGCCCCACATATTTCTATTTGTATTTTTGTGGCTTGACAAGCAGGTAACAACAAAAGGCCGAACTGTATAGTGGGATCCTCGATATAACTTTAGGATTTGCAGTGGTTTCACAGTGTCGTTATTCTTGGGTCTCCTCTCTACGCATTCATCTTTGTGTTTTTCACAAATTGTTTCATCCACAATGCGTTTTTCAGTCATTAAACCTTAATAGAGATGTCTTTCAATCCCGCTTAGAGCGTCAATAGTGTGAATGTTTTAAAACTACCAGCATATTTCTTATCAAAGATTGGCAGAACACCCTCGCATGCGTGATTACTATCAAGACAGCAGCTGACCTGGCATCTTCATGCTACTTTAAGATGCTGCATTTTGCACTGGAGCTTGTGACCAAGACATCAGGCCTCTCACAAAGGCAGGTCCTGTGGCCCTACCTCCTCTTGGCTTTTTTTTTTTTTTTTGGCAGTATTGGGAATTGAACCCAGAGCCTTTGCACTGAGCTATATCCCCAGCCCTTTCTTCTTACTAGTTTTTATTTTGAGACAGTGTCTTGCTAAGTCACTAAGTTGCTAGGCAGAGCTCAAATTTGTGACCCTCTGGCTTCACCCTCGAAGAGTGCTGGGGTTACAGTTGGGCTCCACCCTGGCTTCTGATCACCTCTCAAAGTCCCTACTCCTCACCACTGTTGTTTTGGGAATCACATAATTTGTAAGTTTCCCACACACGGGATTTGGGGAGCACATTCAAACGCTAGCACCTTCCCCCTCAGCATTTACACAATTTGCCACACAATTAATTTTCTTACTGATATCTGTGCGCTGTATTGTCAGTCTCCATAACTGGAATGTAACCTCAGGGAGGGCAAGCATTTGAGCTGGGGGTTTGCAGCTATATCTCCAGTGCCTCAACAGCGTCTAACCTGGAGTAGAAGCTCCACATGTATTTGTTGAATAAACAGTACAAAGCCTTTTCATACACGTTGCCATCTTTGATCCTGACAACGACTCTGTAAGATGAGTTTTACTGTCTAGACGAGTGTGACCGATGAACCGCTCCATTCAAAGAATCAGTGCAGCTGCTGTCTTTCTATACCAATAACGGGAGGTTGCTTTTAGGCATCTCTGTGCAGTCTTGTGCTGGCTAAAGTTTTGTGTCTCCTTATTTTAGGCTGTGGTGCCTGGCCGTTTGGTCAAACACTAATCTAGATGTTGCTGTGAAGGTAATTTGAAAATGTGAAGGATATTTGCAATAAGTTGGTTTTATGGACACACACACACACACACACAGGCTGGGCTGTTTGATACTATGGCTGGGCTGTATCCAGTCAGTTGAAAGATTAAGAGCTGCAACTGAAGTTTCCCAGGAGAGAAGAAATCTGCCTCAAGACTGCAGCATCTAACCCTGCCTATGTTTCTAGACTGTCAGCCTGTCTCATAGATTTCAAACTTACCAGCCCCATAATCATGTGAGTCTGTAACTTAAAATAAATCTCTTTACGTGTATGTGTGTACACACATCTATATATGTGAGGTGTGATTTAAAAATAGAGTAAATGTTTAAATTTTTAAAAATTTTATTACAGGAGATATGTTGCCTTTATGCTCCCTTGAAATATCCCCTCCCACTCACACACACACACACACACACACTAGGACACACTTATCCCATCATTCTTGCCACTTTCTGAAGCAGTTCCGGAAGTCTTCTTTTATGAGTGCCTTTACTTGCATTGTGGTGGCTGCTCTGATATCTGTACTTTGATGTCCTATTTTCAATGTCTGAAGCATTTTCCTTTCACTGTCATTTTGTTTTGGGAGATTAGCCGGAAGTCATATGGTGTCAGCTCTGTCTGGTGAATAAGGCAGATAAGGATACACCGTATGTTTTTATTTTTATTTTTTCCATTACCGGGAATCGAACTCACGACCTTGTGCTTGCCAGGCGGGTGCTTTGCCGCTGAGCTAAACCCCCAGCCCCTGACACCATAAGTTTTTAAAAGCCTACCTTTCCTGTAGGTGGCCCTCAGCAGTAGAATTCACCAAATTTTGATCATACTGTATGAAGACACTCTGAAAGAGGAGTTCCAAAACTGCTTCAGAAAGTGCCAAAAAGAAGTGTGTTCAAAGTGATAGGGAGTATTTTGAGGGGGATTGATGGTTGTAATAACTTTCTAAATTTAAACATTCACTGTATATTTTGATATGTATATGTATATCTATATCTATCTATATATATACACACACACACACACACACACACACACACATACCTGCTGTGTGTATGTGTGTGTGTGTCCATATTTAACCTCCGGGTTTACGGTGGCACTATGTTCTGATACCCCATCACAATGAAAACTCACCGAGTGCACCTGACCTACTGAACATCCTAGCTTAGGAACAGAGCTCACTGTGAACCTCATGGTTCACTCTCATAGTCATGTGGCTGACTGGGAGCCGGGACTCAATGCCTCTGCCCCGCT